TTCTGATAATAACTAGAACTTAACTTGATGCAATTTAATTCAAATATACACAAAAGCGGCAGCTAACAGCACTAAACATGTAATAGTAAAAAACTCCAGCTAACAGCTTGAAATGAAAAACAATCGCTCTCTTACTAAAAACAGTGAAATTAAATTTGAATGTCTAATTAACAATTATGGAATATTTTTAACTTTTTTATTGTTTTTAATATATCCACTTAATTTTGTACAATTTAACTCCAATTTACACAAAAGTGATACCAAAATAGCGTTAAAATAAAAAGGTTTTAGCTTGCAGTAACTAGAAACTGAAAAAAGTAAAAAACACCAGCTAACAGCACTTGAAATGTTAAAAAATAATTAAAAACTGATTTGAATTTTAACCTAATTTCCATAAAAAAAATACTTAAAAAAATGTTAAAATTAAAATAAAATAATTAATAAAAAATTTTCATAAATTTTTTAAGTATTGTAAAATCTCTTACAATGTAAATCCAAATCCTAAATGTCCATTTTATAAAAATTAAATACATTTAGCACTTTCAAATATCCTTTTATCTCTTGTTAGTACGTTAATATTCATATTTAGTTTCATTTTTGTTTATATTTCGGTTAAGTATTTATTTATCAATCATTAAAATGAAAAATTTATTAAGTGATAGATACTCTAAGTAATATTAGCTGCACCATCATAAAATAAATATTCAAATTACAAATACAAGTGCATTTGAAATAGAAATTTTATTTTTAACCAAATAAAATCACTTCACAAATAGCAAATAAACATGCACTTAGAAAAATTACTATAATAACAAAAATAATATGGAAAAATAACTTCCTGACAAAACAATATTTGCACTCAATTTCAGTATTTTTTGTTTTAAAAATTTCGCCAATATTAAACCTAACATACCGCCCACGACCCACGGCCCACTAGTCTAAACTGCCAACCAGAAAATAGAAAAAAATTTATTTTTGGAAAAAAACTGCATATTTTTTCAGTCAAAATATTTGAACATGTATTTAATGGCGCCCAAGAGATTACATTTTCCGGTACTTTGAAGCCCAGCGGCTCTGTAGTAATGCTGTATCCTGCAGTTTATCTCAGCAACGCTGCTTTTACGCTGTCAAACAAAAACATATAAGTACACTCAGCACTTTTGGTTATAACCTTGTGTAAGCAGAAGCTAAGCTACAACAGCTGTACTCGCACTATTTCGTTCCATTTGCAAATCTTATAGATAATAAATTATTATCATGCGAAATAATTTTATTTTTTTGCAAGAAATAAGAAAAGATATCAACTTAAGTTTTGTCTGTACTTCCAACACTACCATACCTCCGCCACATTAAAGTCATTTCCTGTTACATACGAGTACGAGCTGTGCAACTACTTATACAGTATACAACATACAGCATCCAGCTGCTGGACCAAGATCCTCAACATGTGGCACAAGCTGCACGTACACTTGCACATCATTGTTAAGCATGCAATGTGCTCGCTTTCTTCCGCTTCAGTTACTTTTCAATTGTTGAATTTTATTTTTGACATAAGTCAAACCGGGTGCAGTCGAGCAGAATGCATTTTTGCATGAAGCAACCAACCTCCAGATACATTAGCCAATGCCACACAATACTTTTTCATTGTGGCTACATTTCCCATATTTAACTTTTTAAGTTCGAATCAAGCAAAGATTGTGGAAGAACAAAAAATAAGTAGTTTTTTTTTTGCTTCTTTCAGTGCAATGTGCAAAAGTTGTCCTTAACGTCATTATCTCACAACTTTCTCCATTATTACATTGTTGCACTCTTGAGATAGATATATACAATCTTATATTGACAAGAATCTTTCAGTTGTGGTTGATAATGTTGTTGTTGTTGTTGTTGTTGTCGTTGGCTAATGATCATTACAAGTATTTTGTATTTTTAGTATTTTTGGTAATATTGTGGCAATACGTTTTTAGTCCTGTGTTAGCTTGTCTTAAATGCAGTCATCTATATAAAATTGATTCACTCTTTGGCATGCACAATTTTTATATTCTCAACATTTCCGAACTCTTCATTTTGTGTGCTTCCCCACTTTTCAACCAAATGCATTTATTCTATACTTACAATTGAAATACGAGTCGAGTATATGCTCCGGCTCAAGCTATTGCAATAGCAGATTTTTACAAATCCTTGTTGCATTTCTTGTACATATCCTAATGTATTGTTTATTTCGCATTCAATTTTCTATTATTCTATTATTCAGGTTCCTTTTACTTCATTTTTCCTTAGTGATTGTGACTTTATGACTTTCTCAGTGCATTTTTATATTTGCAATAACTATGGGTTATTTGCACTTTAGCATTTTATTATTTCTTGAATTAAATAAATTTTATTCCTTACATATATTAAACAATTTTGAAATGTAAATTTTATTTATGCTATATATTCCATTAAATTAAATAGTAGTAACTTATGCAGTTTTAGATAGAAATACGCTTCCCATGGTGGTAGTGTTTATGAATCAAATTTTTAGCTTTGGCTATCGTTGTTAGTTATGGAGAAGGAGAAACTAATACAACCTGATGTGCTTTAGGGTTTCTTTGATAGGAAGTTAAGCACAGCTACTATATCTTGAGTTACTTTTTTCTCTACGCCAAATGCCAATATAGCCTAGTTTTCGAGATATTTAATTTTAAAATTGAAAATATGAAAACCACCAACATATATACTAGTTGGCACTATATGACATACATATTTGCCAGTAAAATGAATTTAAAATACTTGCAACGTTGGTCTTAGATATCTCAAGAAGTAAACAAAAGTCTTTCAAAAGGCTCAAAAGTCAAAAGGCAAATTTGAAATAATCTTTTCTCTAAGCTAAATGCCATTACAGCTTAGTTTTCAAGATATGGAGCTTGAAAATTGAACATTTTTACACGAAAACCATCAGTATACCTATACTAATTGATACTAGATAATGTACGTGATTTTTACCAATAAAATCCATTTAAAATATTTGCAACTATGTACCTAAATTTCTCGAGAAGTGACCTCTATTGATATGTAGTGCTGTAGAAAAGATTGCTTAAAATAGCTGAAACCACTAAAATTCGCTACCAAATTCAATAGCTATCAGAATAAATCAGAATCTCGTTAAAGTCTTGAATATATAAAGGTAATGGCCACGAATTTGGTAAACTAGGAATGGCAATGATTCTTAAGTCCATTTCTTATAATAACACTGGGTTCTTACTTTTAAGAACCTTAATAACAGAATTTATGCCAACCCTATTCACAAATGGTTAGATACTCGCAGTGCTTTTCTGAGAAACTTTCTAAGCATTGAAGTGCTCAAAATCTGAATTTGAGTGCAGGGATGGCACCAATACATATATGTTTGATACAAAATCGAATTTCAGTAAAAAAAAAAATATCTCTTCAGCAAAGATCATATTATTCAATTTCTTTTTAGTCACTTGAAACCTCTTTATACATGCTTCTAATAGTATCAGATATCGTTATATCCTTTTGACCTACAGTACGCTGTACTTAAGAATTTTTCTTTTCCTCATATAGCCAATCCACTTGGCTTATTTAAGTCTATGCTAACATCTTCATAATTTTTGTTATATATTTAATGCTTATAATCTTAAAGTATCTTTATGTAAATAGTTTAAATAGCAATTAAGTCATGAAAATTGCTAGTCCAATAACTACCAATATGCAACAGTCTCTAGTAACAAGGACAATTTTTACGACAACCAACAGCAGTAGCAATAGTAGCATCTGCGTTTGTCCATAACAGTCGGAAAAATTTGTTATTACTTTGGCAGCGAAAAACTGGTGCTGCTACCAGTCGTAAAAAGTTTATTACCAACTTTTAATATATTTGTCAGTCGACTTTGGTTGACTGGTTCGTTCGAGTCTCGAGCTTTTTACTCACCGCCAATAGGTGTGTATTACTATGTATGCTTGGTTCCAACGTTATCTTTACAAACCTGTACTTAAAAGCAGGTATTTCTGTGTCTCTGATGTGTCTGTATTCGGTACGTCTACGCGCAACTAATAATCTCTTATGGGATTAAATAAGTTTTTGCAGCCGACTTTGCTGGTGCAGTGGTGACTGTTGCTGGAACTTTTCTGTAGTATTAAAACATTTTGCACACCAATAAATTTTTTAAGCTAATAAAATTGTTTAGATTTTTTTATTTTATATTTTTTTATTTAAAAAAAGATTTTTTTTTTCTTTTTTTTAATAAAAAAAAAATTTTTTTTTTCTTTTTTTTAATATATAAAAAAATGGTCATGTGTTCTACTATTTATTGTCTGCTGTAGGAAATTCAGTATTTTTCTCTTTAGTAGTTCTAAGACATAAATAGTAACTTAGTTTATAATATTACTTCTTATTGTTTTTGTTTTTATTTTTTTTTTTTTTGTTTATTTATTTAAGTATTTCAATGTAGTTTTTTAGCTACAGTTTTCTTTGCTTATATGTTTTTCGCTCTTATATATATTTTATGTCCTTAAAAGTTTTGTTGAGTAGTCTTAAAATATTATTTATAGTTCACATTTTCTACGTTAGTCAAAATTATCAGTTGGAAAAGAAGTTTAGATAGTCCTTCAAAAAAAAAAAAATAATAATAATTTGCTATAAATTTATATAGTAAAAAATGAATGCTTACTACTTTTTTAGTCTTTGAATAATAAATATGTAATTTTAATTAATTTATTTCTTTGTTTAAATAAAAATGAATAAATTTTTGTGTGGTAATTTTAATCAATTTTTTTTTCCTTTTTTTTTTTGCATTCCTAATATATTAAAAATATTTTTATATTACTTTACGAAAGTATGCTTTGATATTTTCATAATTTAATTATGAATTCCTTTCGTTGCGTTCTTTCATTTGTTTTTATTATAAATTATTAAATATTTCTACTAAATAAATTATTTTTCAAATACTTTAAATAAGTTTTTTTAATTCCTAAATTTTTTTTATTATATTACACACCAGGTGTTTATGGCGATGTGCAACGCGTAAAAATTTTATACAATAAAAAGGATTCAGCACTCATACAGATGGCAGAGCCACAACAAGCTTACTTGGGTAAGTGTAAAAACAATAAATTTTTTATCTGCAAAATAAATTCAAATGCACTTATTATTAAATATTTGAACAAATATGTAAACTTTAAATGAATTTGCAAATATTTACACGTACGCGAGATAACACTCCATGTTATTGATATCCTGCCACAAAGTGAGTGCATACAGTCGTGCTTTCAATATGCAACACATGTCCTGTCCCCCCGCTATGAAATTTATTTGAAAATAAATAATTTCAAATATTTCGTTTATTAGAACTAATTTCGCTAACAGTAGATGAACAGTAAATGAAGAGACTGAGTAGAGAAGTATTTCATGAAATTTTAATCAAATTTATTAAATGCTGCTCTGCAGTAGCATTCCCTGCAGCAACTCGTCGTTTACACCTTTTTACATTGACAATAATAACAAATAACGTTGCCCTTAGCAATAGCAAATATATTTTAACAACAACATAAACAACAACAATAACAGCAGCAACAACAACAATAGCAAAAAATAATAATGAAGGTAACAACAAAATTCCTGGCACTCAGTTTTTAATCTTCTGGCAATGCCGCTGCTTTTGCTGCTGTTGCTCCTGTTGGTTCTGTTGGGTCCTGTTGCTGCATGCATTTAGCTCACTCACAACAGGACATTCCAATCATTTTATACAATTATTCAGCACGTAGATTTTCACAATCCTATTTGTACAATAAATTCCAAGCTAAAAAATGCACTGAAATCACAGACATTAATTCATTTATATGCTACTTGCTCATCTCATATTTTCATACCTGGTTTCCAGTCCAAGTGACTGATGTGATGGTTGGTTATGTGTTGGTTATATTTTTTTTTTGTTTTTTTTTTCTTTGTTGGAATTATACTCCAACGACTGATGACTACCTTTCACTGTTCCATTCCATTCTGTAGAAATTCTTAGTATTTTGTGCTCTGCTCTTTTATTTTTTTATTTTTGGAGTTGAGTTATTTAAAATTTTCATTTCAATTTTATTAATTTAACTTCTTTTTCACATGAACACCAGAAAATCTTCTGCAGTTCATCAACAAATTAAACTTTTATTAAAATATTTCAATTGTTATTTTTAATTAAATAAACAATAAAGAAATTTTTTTCATGGGTTTCCCTAGAAATTATTTTTAGCAATTGTCACATTATTAAATTGCATTTAATATTTTTTTATAATTAAAGTGAAATTAAATTGAACTCAGAAATAAATTTCATAAGAATAAATAATAGAATAATATAAGAATAATAATAGAATAATTTTAAGTCAACAAAATAAAAGAATGGAACTCCCAAGGTGCAAGAAAAACAGAGGACACCTCAAGAAGACATGTCGTAGAAGCTTTACCAAGGAAACTAAACATTTAATGAATTAAGACATGTGACTAGAAACCGAGATTTGTAGATATCCTATGGAAATAGACTAAATACTTAATTTACCCCTTTGATATAATGCTAGGATATGTTAATAATAAAATAAAAATAAAATAATAGAAAATGTTTGAAATACTAACTCCCAGTAAAATAGAAAACTGCGACTATGGCTAAACTTTTGTGCTTCTTACCACACTAACTGAATAAAGCCCGAGTCCATTCGGCCTTGGAATGAAAGCCCGAGCATCAGTTGTTAAAGATATTCTAATATCAGATGCAGTTAGGATTTTCTCATCCCATTCACTTAATAAATTACTTAAGAAATGAAAAACATTAATGGATTTGAAAAATCCATATATGTCGACCCACGAAGATCTTATGTACAGACTTTTATTTTTAAAGTTTGGAAGGTAATATTTCTTTTACTTTTTCTACAGATTAATTTAGATCTCCGTTTATAAAATTTAAAAAAAATGTTTTTTAAAACTTATAAGCATCATTCCTGTTTCTATATACATCGTCTCACTCATGCCTTTCTAGACCTCGCTTCTTACATCTAAAAAAGTTCCTTTCTTGCTCTCTCCTTTCCCAATATTGTCCATCTATTGCTAGCGAAATTACTGACTACAGACCCATGATATTTTTTGTGTAGCATTACTCTTTAGTGGCTATCCTCATATTCTATCATTTCAATTGTAAACTTATTAGATTATTTCCGTTTTCTTAGTTCTTATTTGTCCATACATCAGGGTTAATTTTATTGCTGAAACCGGAGAAACAGGAAGGGGCGTTCATTTGTCCATATTTGTCCATTATTATTATTATTGAGTAAGGGATCGTGCACTGCGACCTAAAAGATCTATTGTGCCCCTTTGTCGGGTTAGAGTATTTCTCCAAGTCCGATTTCTTTAATGAAAGACAGTTCCCCAGTCTTGAATCCTTATGATCCATGAAATACCCTCCTAGGTGTTTCTTTCGCTTATGCATCAGTGCCGGGCACTCTCCAAGCACATGGTATGCCGTTTCTCTCTCATATTTGTCCATACATCAGGGTTAATTTTGTTACTGAAACCGGTGAAACGGGAAGGGGCGTTCATTTTTAACATTTATCAATATACATATTACACTTTCAGACCAAATACCTCCTGTATCTCAACAATGGTTCCATTAAATAACTCAACTCATATAATTACTCTATTATTTACCCTTAAATTTAAATAACGTCTTTCCATGGAAATAGTTAAATTTATTTTTTTTTTTATTTTATAATTTCAATTTTTTTTTACAAAAATTTAAAGCACACAACAACACAGCATTCATACATAAATATCACCTATTTACACCATATTTGTTCATATCTCATTAACATGACCAACATCTGTGATGTGATGTTGACTGCATGCAACAATGCAGCCAATGAATGCATTTAACAGAAGTGTTTGCATTCCGACGACCGAACAAATGTTAAAATGTTTGCGTTTTGGTCATTTGGAAGCACGTTAGTTTGCTTTCTGTGCAAAAATGAGCAAAAATATTTCATGCATTTGAAATGAAGTCAAATGGAGTTTTACAATTTTAAACATGGCATTTAGTGTACTAATAAAATTTTATACTAACTATGTTTGCTAATGTGTAGCATTTCAATGCTACATATAAACATAGAGCAAACCAATTTTTCGCCAACAGCAACAATAACAGCAACAACAATAGAGACTTGCAATCCCACCTGGACAGACTAGCATGTGAACCTACTAAACAGACAAAAAAATATTAACTCCATTTTCAAAATATTTGAGTGTGCAAAATTGTTCATTTTTGTGCAATTTTTGTGTAAACACAGCGTGTATAGAAAAAGTTTTAGTACTTTAAATAGTATGTTTTAAAATAAGTAATATATAGGTTTTTTTAATACTAAAAAAAAAGTGAAAATAATTAATTTCTTACAAATTAAACTAGTTTACAATCAAACTAGTTTACACTTAGACTGTTTACACATAAACTAGTTTACACATAAACTAATTTACACTTAAACACCTTGCTAGTTTAGCATTGTTAGTATTTTTTATTTCATATCAATACATCCAGAACATATTCGATATTCTTTTTATTCCAGTTTCTCACTGCAGTTTTTTAATCCCGCTGTCTAATCTAGTTTTTTAATCCAGTTTCTTTATCAAGTTTTTTAACTCGGTTTTGTAACCCGGTTTCTTAATTCAGTTTTTTAATCCAGTTTCTTAATCCAGTTTCTTATTTCAGTTTCTTATTCTAGTTGCATATTCCAGTTTCTAATCCAGTTTTTATTTTCAGTTTTTAATCCAGTTTTTAAATCCAGTCTCATAATTCAGTTTTTTAATTCAATTTCTTAATACAGTTTCTTAATCCAATACTGCATAACAATGCTGAATAAATCCAGTATTTGTCCACTTTTATGTAAGAACTTAAAGCGTCCATAGGTCATGATATTGTTAAACTTATTACGTCTTTTATACCGCTAATAATTTGGTATATAGATCAATGGATATAGATACGGGATGGCAGAAAAATAGTATTTAATAATATTTTATGGTTTTTTTTTTAATATTGATTGTTTTTACATTCATTGCTTTACTTTTGTTGTTATACTTACACTATGAACTTAAACGCACCCATTAATGGAGAGCGCCCATTAAATAACATATGTTACTAAAGATATCAAAAGTCATTTGTGTGTAACATAGCAATTATTTTGGCTATTGCTTTTAACACTGAAGTGTGTTTGTCCAATATCTTTATATCTAATATTTAACAAATCTTTTCTTTCTTAGTATCCATTTCAAACTAGTGAGGCATAGCCTCGCAACGATTCTCTTAAACCGCACTCTGTTAGATGCTTCTCTGCATATATCGCTCCGTGTGTAGTGCGCTTCTGTCATTTCTCTTTCAATTGTCCTTCTCCAAGTTAAGGCCGGTGCACCAGGGCGTCTGCTGCCTTATGGGTTCCACGTCAAAGCTTGTCGTGGAATGTACTTATTTGGTCCATAATTCTCAGGTTCAACCATATTTCTAGGATTTAACATTTATTTAAAAATGTTTAACTAATATCACCCTGTAATTACGAAATCTACTTTCTAACACTACATACTCCATTTTCGCATAAATGTAACCTATAGAGGTACAATTTTCAAAAGAAAAGCACATGAGCGCAGGTGTACAAATTTCATTTACACTTAATTTAAGTTTCGCGCCACAATTTGAAAAAGCAATGCCCTTTACACTGCTCGCCAGAGATTTAAACTCTACCATAAGCTTACTTTACATATGTATATATGTGTGCATGTATGTATGTACATATGCATTCATAATTTTAATTTACTCAAGTCTGTGTCCATTTATCCACACAGTTCGTTTTAGAGTTTTACATCTGATATGTAACAGTGTATTTTTTTGTTGTTAGCATAAGAACCAAAAATCTGTTGAACTGCTTTATGTTATATACATACATTTGCGACTGCTGAATGTTACGCGCAGTGCAAATTCAAGTGTAAATTAGCACAGTTTAAAAGTTCAACTAATCTTTACTTAGTGTGTGTCGTCTGTTGTGTCCGTCCGTCCGTGCATGCAGTGAGTATATATATTGCTTT